TGCTGACAGCACAGGACTGGGATAGTAGGAAATTTAAAGACTGGGAGAGAGGACAATTTGCTTGAAGGTGAATTAGTTTATTTTGCACTCTGTGCTCTGACCACTACCATGCAAGCTTCACAGGCCAAGAAGAGAGTGCCAGCAGAGCTATAGGAGCTGCTATGAATTATAACAGCCTGTCAAGTTGTCCCATAGCCTCTGCCCCATCCTGTGTGAGTGCCTGCTGCTACCACCCTTGCACTGGGAGACTCATCTCTTAGCTTGTTGCAGCCTTTTCCTGTCCAGTAAATGCAATTAGAGGCAGAGGGACTCGCATTCTGGGCTCATGCTTAGGTAAGAGGGTAAGAAAGATTATTTTAGTTTGGGGAGGTAAACGGACCAGTCAATCTAGGAAATTTTAGTGGAGAATAGATATGATATTTATGGGTTTCTCCTTGTTGTTATAAATATTTAGCATCCTATAGGTGTCAATATTTTAACTCTCCTGTAATACTTCTGGAGCAGTCTGCAGAGCTATAGTTGATGGCTCATATGTGCTACCTGGTTCTTTAACTCCCAATCACACAAGGCAGATGAGCTGTTTCTCTGTATGAAAGGTGATATGTGGAAGTCACTACAGAATTGTGTATGGTTCCTAAAGCGAGGACCTTGAGAAAAGCTGATCCTTAAAGATGTTTGGCACCTGTTGTGAGAGCAGGGCTTGCCCTCCTTGGCTAAGCTGTCCCTTTCCAAGTTGAGCACAGCACTGGTGAAAGCCATTCCAGGGTGTGTCTCTTCTACCCCATGGACAATTGCACTTCAGTGGTGAAATGCTGCGTGGGTCATTTTTTAAGAGAGCTCAGTTGTCACTGAAAGCAGAGTGAGTGCCAGAGAGCTTTGGCTACCAAGCTGTTTCAAAAAAATCGGACCTTATAAGTGACACATGAGGAGCTGCTAGCATCAAGCATTCAAAATCTGGGCCTTTCTTTGAAAAGTGCTTTTGATTTCTGGATGAAAGGTGTTAGAGAAATGTAGATGTTATCATTCATTATGAGCAATTTCCACTGTGCAGCCATAAAACTATCCAAAGCACAGACACACCATCAAAACCTTTGGCAATAGCCACAAGGTACATTTTTGTAGTAAATAGTTTTCCCCCATCTTTGCTCTTACTGAGGGCACAGATTATCTTTTTCTGAATCAGGCAGCTCATTTTGCTCATTCTTTCCAGGGAAGAAGTGCTAGAAGTTTTTAGATCCACTTGTGGAATTGTAGATGGGGAAAGGATGCTACAGGCCAGAGTTGTCCTCCTGAGAATGGTGCCAGCCTGCATGTGTGGGGCTGCAAGTCAATGGTTGAGGGCTGGTATAAACCCTTCCCACCTGGAGAACATGGCATACCTCTCCCTTCCTTGTTTTGGCCAGCCTCCTGCTTCCAGCTCTGATTAGCTGCAGAATCTCCCAGTGCTTAAAGCCAAGCCCGACTGGCTAAATGTAGTGAATGAATCAGATTTTGAAAATAAGTCAATCATTCCACAGATAATTTCACTTCTGCCTAAGAATGGTGTAGAGATGCCTGGCCTCTGCAGTTCCCAGTAGGAGCACTTCAGTAGTGATAGTGCATGTTACAGCGGAAGGAGTAAAAAAGAACAAAACCAAAACCCCAAACTTCTAGTGACTTTGCTTTAGCTCCAGGGAGGATCCAGTTACTCCTTTTCATGCCACCGTAAGGTAGCAAGTCCAGCGGTATCCAAGTCTTGTCTCAGCCCTGTTAGGATAGTTATTTCATGAAAGAAAATAAAACAAATGACAGTTTAATCCTTCCCTGAAAGCTCTTAGGACACAGATGGCTAACTAGCCATAACAGGGACACTGTTTCTGGTGAAGTGAGCAAAAAATAAATGCCTTACTGTATCATAAATAATCGCAGTCAGATGTTCCTGCTCCATTTTGTTGATAAATGACTGCATAATCATGGGTGAAGGAAAAATATCTCAATAATTTTAATGTCTTTCCTTTTCAATGCCTAAATTGAAGAAATTTAAAAGAAATTAGTTTTTCTTGGCAAAAAAGACTTTTAAAATGTCACCAAAGAAGCCTGAATCTTAGATCTATTCTTCCCCCCCCCCCCCCTCCCTTTTTTTTTTTTTTGGTAGGCTTTTTTTTTTTGAGGTAATGAACATTATTGAGTGGGGGTCCAGTAGAGGTTAAGAAATGAGAGAATTTCCCTCCAGGGACAAGATGAGAGGGAAAATGAACCTTGTGACAGATGTTAGTTACATTGCTTAATGCACTACTGGAAGACTCTCAGATGCTCTGGAAATAACCTATTGCAGACACCACAAGCTGCAGTGCATAGCATTAATGTCATCCAAAACTTCCCCTTTTAAGATTATCTTTTTCACTGGCTTATAGCCTTGCCAAATTTAATCATTTAGGCTGAACTACTTCATGTTAGGTTTTTGCCTCTGGCTCACTTTGCTATCATTAGTTGTTGAAGGTTTCATCTAAAGCTGTTCGTCTGTTTCAGTGAGTAAGACTGGAGGAAGATCTATCACTTTGCCCATAAATCCTTAAAAGAGAAAGGATATAAAAACTTAATTTTGCACGTGCCAACCATAAAG